AATAAATATATGAACTTTGTAAGTAAATGTTTTTTGTGCAAAATGATTGCATTGATTCATGTTTGTTTTATGTAATATACAGTATACAGTACAGATGTAGGCGACATGGTGGTGATGTGATTAGCTTTTCCGCCTTGGTTTAATTCCTGAAGTGCTACAGTATGTGTGGTGAGGTTGTGTGTTGGCCCCATGTTTGCATTGGTTTACTCCGGGTATGCCCTTTTCCTCTCAATGGAGTAAAGACATACTGGCAGGTTAAATGGGCTTTTGGGAAGGTTAGCCCTGGAGTGAGTGTGTGTGTTTGTGTGTGTTCTGCGATGGAGTGGTGTTCCATCCAGGGTATACAGTATGCTGCCTTGTGCCTATTGCTTGCAGGGAGAGGCTCCAGCTCCCCTGTGACCATGTATTGGATAAAGTCATTAGAAAATGGATGGATATATACTGTAATTATGTAATGATGTACTCACGAGTACACCAGTGACAAACAGTATGTGGAGTTGGACAGAATAGCGAAGAGTCAACTGGCTGCCTGAAATGTGTGGCTTATTAGAAATATATAAATTACAGTGTTATTAATTTAACTAAAACATCTTTTACATTTATTCTGCTGATCTCGTTTCTGATTTAATGTTTCAATGCAATGGTAAACAGAAAAAACACTTAGCAGCCTATTAAGACTGTCCCAGATGCATATTTCCTACCTGCTCATTGATATGACACCAGCACCTCATGGTCACAGTTACTTGTCCACCAAGGTGTTGTAGTGCAGGGACTTTCTGAAATGACATGGAAGGTCATATTGACAAAGGATGTGGTGATGCATGTGATGTTAAATAAAATCTGAAGCTTATATGTAGCTATATTTAAATGAACCGTGTAACCTTTTGCTGCCTATGAGATGTACTGGCCTCATGTCATGGGTGCGGTCCTTTCTTGTGCCTCATGCATCCATAATCTTAGCTCCAGGTTTCTGAGATCTTGACCAGGAACAAAGACCTTTTTGATAAAGGAGTGATAATAATCCATATTACAGTACTTGCAAAAGTATTCAAATGTAAATATTAGTGAAAAAGTGGAAGTGGACTGTAAAGTAAATTGGCTAAATAGTTCATCTGGAAGAAAGAAAAACAGTAGCACATCACACTGATCAACTCAGACAATTCTAATGAAGATTAAACAGCACTAGTATGATACTAAATGGTGCTTTGGGTACATGTTTAAGAAACGTAAGAGCTCATATATGCAAAAAATGAAATTGGATATATAGTTAAACGCTTCTCTGCTAGGCATTCTGATATCTGTCTGAATATTTGCATTTCAGTTGATGAAAATTGACGAAGAATTGACACAGTTGAGCTAGAAGAGAAATTTTATTATATTTTCTTAAAGTGGCTTGCAATATTTGTTTTTTCTCAAAATCATCATACATTGGGGGGAGATATTGAATAATGTTAAAATACTACTAGTAGAAAGTGCTGTAGGTCTACATTTGCAAGGTAAATGAAATAGATAGATAGATACTTTATTGATCCTGTGAGGGAACTTGCAGTGCAGCAGCAGCTTTACACAGACAACACAGCCACAGTGTAACGAATGATACAATAATAATAATAGTACAATACATACAATACAATCAGTGCAGTGAGATGTGCACTAAAAGAGTTACTCAGTCCGGACACACAAAGAACAAACTAGAACAGAACAGTATGCAGAAAAATCATATCACACATATGAATATAAATATAGATGTAAATATAGATATAGATATAAATATAAATCTATTGCACGGGTCCCTGGCATATATTGCACAAAAAAAACAGTTGTAAACAGGAAAAGAAAGAGATCAGATGTAGCAGTAGATGTGTAGATGCGTTCAGTCCAGAAACAGGTCACTGTCAATGTTGCCTCTGCCCAGACGCAAGGTGGATGTGTTTTTTTTCTTCTCTTTTCAGTATGGAATAAACCTATTACTTGTTCCTTAGATACAGTATACATACACATTAGAAGCAAGATTGATTCCTGTATCGTTGCCTTGTAAATCATGAGATATTTTCGTATTTGCATGAACAGATTATTAACACTGCGCCATGAACTAGATTTCTGAACCTCCATACTAAAGGAAGGCATTTTTGAAATGTACAGTAGATGGTCTTTTGTGATTGGTGTCTAAGTGTTCTTGAAATTAAGAACTATACCTTGAAGACATTCGTACTCATTTTAAAAATATCACTATTTAACAGAACTCAGAAGTATTGTGCGATGATGTTAGGATTTGATCAGTCACAGGGGTGTTTGAAGCCAGCAGTGAACTTTTTTAAAAACAGCCACAAGAAGACATTAACTGTCCTTGCCCTGCTTGTGCCCCACTTCCAGAACACAGTAAAAGCCTTTGAAGAAATAAAAGTTTAATTCAGTAAGCATGAGGAATAGTATCTGTTTTAGAATAGCTTAAGATCAGAAGATGTTATTTAAAGTCCGTATTTGTTAGAAACATAAGTTTAAACATATTCTCCATTTCTAAGGAACAGGTTGCGCATCACATAACAGCCATGTGGCAGACCTGAAAAACCGACAAAACTTTGTGAAAGTTTTTGCACATACAATTTAAAATGTAGAGAAATAAAGTGTTCTGAAATTGAATATTTCTTGTTCCAGCTGAGCTGCAATAGGATACAGTATAGGTAGCTTGTGTGAGATCAATTTAACAGAACATCAGTGTTAAATCACCTTTCAGCAGTTTCCTGAGTGACTACAATTATATAGATAAAAACGGAACTACAATTTGGCTGAAGGGGGATCCTAATTAGTTTCAAATGCAAAATTTCTCTGATATTTTGCCCTCACCTTTTATGTATCAGAAAATTCAGGTTTTTTTTAGCTGAGTCTTGCTGGTGTCTCGTCTGTGGCAGAATTAAATGCTCTCATTAAGTGCAATTTAATTGGGGCGAGTTGTTTCGCTCTAAACCTATATGTGGTAAGCGTTCGGTAATCAGTTGTGTGCACTGCATAACAAAACTGCACAAAATTAAAAGTTAATGAACTGGGAGTCGGCTAATGGTCTCCGTTGGGGTAGTTTCTCTACATTTGGCTCAGAAAGCCGACAGAAAAGAACAACGCAGTTTTAATTTGGACAGTCAATTCAGGGATACAGCAAGAAAGGTTACTCATGCATTAAATAAAACTATCAAACTCAAGATCAGAGGATATATTGGGGGAGGGGGTAGTGGAAGAGATATAAGGAGCAGCCACAATTGAATTGTGATGGGGAAATGCATGAATGGAGGTGCAGCTTCTATCTCGTTTCAAATGCAGTCCCGTAGAATTCCAATTATCTGAATCCCACTTATCAGACTTTTACTCTTCTGCTAAGTGCCCTCCACTATCGTAACACAGAGATTCTGAAATCCTGTTGTCATGTTGTAAGCATTTGACATTTTCAAGGTTTTTTTCTCGCTGCCAATTTTTAGGCAAAGCAATCCACTTTACATCAATAAACCTCATGGTATTAACGTGAATATGCTGAAATACTGTAAGGAGCACTGTTCCCCAAATATAAACCATTTTAGTTATAAAAGTAATTATTATGAAGACCACATTTCAGGCTAATTTATATTTCATGACCGTAAGGAAAGAAATAGAATTTTAACACTGGTGCAAGTGCTCTTCAGTATTTAATGGCAGAAGTGCCCAAGTGGTGACAGTTTCATTCTCTCTTGCAGCTTTCCTTGGGAGTCTGATTTCACTTGAAGTTGTGTAAAGAACTAAAATAATAAATAAGTTGGAGGCAGCTGCTTGGCGCTCTGTGGAGTGGAAACGCAGCAGGTTCTCTGCAGGACGAATGCTCCTGAAGCCCACTGACAGGCAGCTGCTTGCATGCTGAGGATACAGATGACTGAACTGGTGGGAGATGGGGGCAGCTGTAGCGAACACATTCAATTGAAGCTCTTTCCATTAAGTCAGTGCGATATCCAGGCTGGCTCCTGAAGGCGATATACTGTACATGGTATAGCCGAACTGGGCCTCACCTTTCCTGTGCTGTAGGCTTCGCCTGGAGTCAGGCCGCACTCTGAAAATGCATACCACTGCGTTTCATTTGATGAAACTAGCTCTAGATAATGCGTTTTGCTAAATCAGGGACATATTGTTATTTGTTTACAAATTGTACTTCAAAAATGACCTTTTTTTTACCAGAAATCAAGGAAGAAACAATAACAGCAAAACAAATCTGACAAGAGCAGATACAGAAATAAAGCTGTTTTCCTGTGTAGGAAAACCTGATGTTGAGACTACAGTAATTCACATAGTGTGATGACATTATTTGAAAGTTTTACTTCTGTGCTTAGTGCACACATCTGATACCTAAAGTACAGTTAAATTTGAGCAAACCTTTTAGGTTCTGAAAAGCCCAATGTCTTTTCAATTAAAAACCCTTTTAGTTTTTAATTTGAACAGACATGTTAAAACTGTGTTATGCATGATATTACCAAAGTCTGCTGTAAGCCCAGTAAACTTTTTGATTCACGGTGCCTGGAGTTGTCACTATTTTCTGCTGACGTACCTGAGGGCTTTTTAGCATTGTGCTTTTGAACTTGAACTTCAAGTTCCCCGCACCTGGGGAATTTTCTGAACCTATCAGAAGTTATTAAAATACATCTTTTAAACCAGCACGTATTTACCAAATTAATTGCACACCCCTGAAGATAGCAGTTATTTATAAGCTCAATTAAACATTACAATTCTCCAGTCAATTGAGTGACTCAGCCTTCAGTTCTCGTTCCATTATGCAGTCAGTGGCGAAGTGAGGGGCACATTATAATGCTCACTGAGAGAAATCTCTATGAAGGAATATGAATAATGAGTAGTAACAATGGCTGGCAGCTCTTAAAACTGCAGAATCCTTCTAAGACGTTCTTTCAACGGTTTTGGGGACATGGGTGGGCCTTGTGACAGGAGAGACAAATGTTTGAGCCGTTCTTTGTTTCCATTCTTTCCTTTCCCAGGAGCGAAAGCTGTGTGCTCACCCCTTCCTTGAGATTTACCGGGGAGACCTGATTCACTACATGAGCCCTCTTGCTCGCCAGAGTGACTTCTATGTACCGGAGGTCAGAGACACTGAACGGAAACTGCAGGCTGATGAAGAGTCAGAGGACAGGCAAACAGACATCACAGGTAGGCATTGAACAGACTCCTCTCAGTACATCTGCAAGAGAGCATACTCTACAGCTTTCTTCACATGACCTTCCCTTCATAGACTAGAAGTCTAGGAATCCTACCCTTTTGGTTCTAGAGCTTTAAACTCATCTTCCATATTTTCCCTTTGTTCTAGATTCTCTTTTTTTGTTCTGGTAATATTACAATACACTTGAACAAAAAAATGAGAATGTGTTCCATAAGTAACAAATAGTATGAATAATGAGACTGTTTAAAAAAAACTGTAGAAATTAATGGAGTGCAATGCTTTTTTGGGAAACAGAGCACATATTTGGGAAAGCTTTGTTTAATTGTTGTTTAACATTTTGCTATGACCTATTGCCAAATTATCTATTATTAAATAACTGTTAAAATGATTATAAATATCTTTATTCTCATTATCATTATGGCTCTTCTAATGAGGAAGCTGAAATTTGAGATTGACATATCAAATCTTTGCTGCTCACTGAGTTATGACAATGTTAATGTTGGTCAATTTGGATTAAGTTGCAGAGAGTTTTATGGTTTTCTGGAGTTAGTTTTATGCAATGGTTCCAAATCGTGGACATCACCCCCAGCAACAGTTTCTTGAAGCCAAGGCCTGCTGTTCGTTGTTTTACGTTTCTCCGAGTTAAGATGGTGTACTGTTTGTTTTTGTTGTAGAAAAGGTGGATGTGAATCTCTTTCAAGGTAAGATGGAAATGCAAAACAATGGTTTGGCTCCACGTGAGAGAGCACTGCACTAAGCTGTCTCATTGCCTTTCCCCTTGCCTGCCTGCCCAAACAAGGAATCAACTTGTCAGATAACGAATGGACGATGATATGCACTGCTGCCCTCCTGTGCAAATCCCGCAGCTCTGGCTTCCCCCAAATTTCTAAACCTTTCAACGTACTGCATGTCTTACAGTAGTGTTTGATTTATTATGCTTATGCACGTAATTACAGATCTTCGGTTTGTGAGCCTCGCTTTGCTTTTCAGGTGCAACTCAACCCTTGAAGTCTGGTAGACTTGTTCAGTGTCAACACAAAAATTGCCCCAAACTGCAACAAAGTAAAAACATTTGGAAACTTTATAATATACAGGGTGGTTATACTGTACATTCTTGCAGTCATTCCCTGAGAACAACCACACTTTAGTGGCTCTCCGTATCTCTTCAAGTGCTGTTTCTTCTCCACTGTCATTTGCATGCCCATGTCTGCATGTGTGTATACTGATAATTTCCTGGAAATTGGATGAACAGTCACAGATAGATTCTTTTTGGAGGAGACTCTATAAATACCCTGTGAATGTGGCATTCTTTTTCAGGCAGTATTGGTTTGTGTAGTATTGGTTAGGGTTGTAGCTGGAAGGTTGGGTGTTGAAATCCTGGGTGTACAGCTGTTGCACAGGATATTAGAGGGAAGTGGTATCCTCAGATTGCTGCACTAACATGCCCTGTTGTATGTAGTATAGGTGTACAAATGTGAGTTACTGAGTTACTCTGGATAAAAGAGTCAGTCAAGCAAAGTGATAATGATAGATATGTCCGATCGTCCTTATTCTAAAATGCAATATTTCTTATTCAGGAGCGTTCTTTGTAGAAACTCTGCCAAAGGAACCTTTTTTGATAAGAAAAACCTCATCTTATGTTGTCTCAGCCCAGGAGCTACCATCTTTGAACCCTATTTTAGTCCAGATTTTATACATTGTGAAACTTAAGGTTTTGTTGGCAATAAGGTTTCATCAAATGTGGTACGTTCTTTCTTGTTGGTGCTATGCAGGCTACAGATCACAACAAACACCTTTTTTTCTTTAGAGTCATTAATAAGAAATGAGGAGTGAATAGTGAATTGCTATATGTTGCTTTGAGGGCAGGATTCATTTCAATCTATTGTGCAGCATTTCTGTTCTTCATTAAAAGAGGTTGTGTAAGGGTTATAGCTGTACCTGCCAGATAGAAGGCCAATAACACACTGCTGAGCTGGACGTGTGGCATGTTGATTACATATTGAAGACTATACAGAGGCTGAACAAAGACTTTTTGAAATGTATTTTTCCAGTTGCTGCTCCCTCTATTGATTGCATCGATCTGTTGATAGATGAGGTTGTATAATTGCTCTGTCAGTTTGAGCATGTTCTTCAAAGTGCTAGCAGTCAAACAAGATGAATAGCCTTACCATTAAAAGAAAACAGAAAAAAAAACCCTGACGGGACTCTAGTAAAAAGGTCTTGAGTTAGGTAAGCGAAGATATTAACTTGTCACAATATAAATCATTTGAAAACTGAGCTGTGACACTGTATTATGTGTGACTAGATGACTGGGCTAGAGTCACCCATTTGGAGAGTTATGAGTACAGCTGTGATATTATTCTATCTGAAGCCAGTGGGTAAGGGCATTTAGAAGGACATTCCTTGTTACACTGTGGAACACATTTCCTATCTCAGCAGTCAGTAGTGAGACTCCACAGGCTTCAGAAGATATTTACCTCACTGATGCCTTATGATCCCTGACATTTATTGGGATTTGTTACTTGAATTTTGACTCAGTTTTCCTCCCATTTAACATCAACTGATACATGTTTTATTCTTTGGTCCTGCTGGCTACATTGTCTTGGAAAACAAAAACTAGCAAGTCCTGTTTAAATATTATATTTGTATTGTCATGTTTCTTTGTAGTATAAATTCTTCAACCTTATTTTTAAAGACATAATCATCACATCTGTAGAATGCTAAGAGCATCTGAAATATTTGGAAACATTTGTTTTGATTTCATCTGTGTAAAGTGCTTCCAGTACTGCAGTAAAATTAATACTAATTCGCTCTGGGAGATTATGCAGACTAATCCTGACTTATTACCTACGCCAGGTGCAGTTACAGGGCACGTTTCTGTAGTATTTCACTGTCTGATTAATAAACTGAGAATTCTTGAATTCTTGGTCTGTATGTTCTCCCCACATTCACACAGCGTTCCAGTTTTCTCCCGTAGTCAAAGGACATGCTTGTAGGTTAATTGGCCTCTGGTGAAAATTGGTCCGAGTGTGCGTGTCTGTTCCCTCCAGGATGTATCCTGCCTTGAGCCCGTTGCCCGCTGGGTTGGACTTGAACTCCACCATGACCCCGTACCAAATAAAGTGGCTGGAAAATGAATGGATGATAGTTTAGTACTGTACATGATGCCTCATGTGTAATTCTTTCAAAATGTCTAAACCATTGATGGATTCAGGATCGGATTCATCTCACAGCAGCAGTCGTGGGTTATTAATGTCATTGTTAATCGATCTACCTGCTATACAGTCCAGTCCAATTTTTAAAAGCACCACGTATTGTAAAGCAGATATCCTCCATTTCTGCGTACAGTGCTTTGCAAAAGTATTCACCCCTTTCCAATGATTTTCCACAACAGGTGATGTATACAGAATTTGGAAATATTTATTTTTTTAGATTATTCTTTGCAGTGTTAGCTAACACGTAGCTTTTTCATCCTTAAATAAATATTTGGGTTGACCTGAATAACTGTTGATGGAAAAATAACCAATTAAAAAAAAAACTGTGTACATTTTTTGTCATTCATCAAGCTGGGATATGATTGGAAAAATGTATACTTTCGCAAGGCACTTGCAAAATATGACTTTTGCAAATGCAGTACTGTACTGTATATCTCATTCATCCTTTCATTTGATTAGAATGATCATAGATAAAAAAAACTCAGTGTTTGATGAAAATCCAGAGCTGAAACAAGAACCGGGGTGACAAAGACCTGGATTGAGAATTGCTGTCATATATAAAGGTTTACAATATAGTATTTTCCATTTATATTCAAACCTTCAAGATTGGTCAAATACCAAATATTTTTTTTCACTGTATGGAATTGCACGACTACTTGTTAAAGGCCTCAGGTTGCAGCTTGACTTATGCTTCAGTAAACAGAGCTTTTGTAGTTTTATGGCATGGTCTGGTGTCAGAATGTTATGAATTATGTGAATTAAAAAGTCACAGTGCTGTGCAGCCTCAAGACCTCATTTATGTCTGGACAGGACCATGTGATGTTTAGTTCAAGTCAAAATTGCTTTAGTTATAAACTTGTCACATCTGCCATAAATTCTATTTGTGGGGCTTAAGACTTCAATGCAGCTCACCATAGTGCGCATTTTGTGGCCTTAGGTTGGTCAACATACTGTAGGTATGAACTCTTAAGATCGAGCCAGAAGGCATGGGTTTCAAATTCTCTCCTTCCACAATGTTATTGTAGGATATTACTTTCAGGGAATTCTTGGGTTTTTTGTGAGTGTTTGTGTGGTTCTTGCCTTCCATTTGATGTTATTCAATAAGACACTTGCTGGCCTGCTGGTCACCAAGTCTAGGGGCTGGAATGTTTCAAGTTTACAGATTGCTGTCCAACCCAGATAGTAAAACTCAGAGAACAATCCACATTGAGGCTTAGTCCATAGCTCTCAGCCTGCCCTGGAGTCTCACAGCAGCAATAGGCAGCCTTCTTAACTCTTACCTTACCTGAGCATGTACATGACAATTTTCTGCATTGGTAATACTGTATATCCTGGTAAAGGATGCCTCTGCAGAGGTACTGTATGATAGTCATTATTTTCATAGAAATAAGTAGCACCCACTAATTGAATGCTTATGGGGTGAAGTGAATTACTTAGATAATTAGAGTTCAGACAATTAGAGCTAAAGTACTGCAACTAATGGGAAGTTTTTAAAAATCAAATCTGTGCAAATCAAACTGCAAGATTGCTTACATGGTGTATCGCCATAGGCTCATATTCTTGAAAATACATCATGTAATTCAAATTATTAAATGCTTTTAGCTTCTAAGTGTTTCAGTACCTTTCTCTTTCCCTTTAAGAACAAGACAATTTTTGTTTACCATCTTACTTTTTATTTATATTATACTTCAAAACTGGAAGCATGCATAAATGCAATCACTGGACCAAACATTTACCAGACTGCCTTTACCAAACGGGGTACTAGCTATAGAATTTAATAACAGATTTTATATTGATGTAAAATGTTACTGATACTTTCTTTACGGGCCCTAAAATTACACAATTTACAAATTACCCATTTGGGTTTTTAGCGTCTCGTTGTTTTGATCTCTTAATAATATTATTTTTAATTTCCCTCCTTAGCAGTGGTTTGGTAATTGTGATGAATTTATCTGCGAGGGGACATTCTGCATGTGGACAATGATTTGAAGTGACACCCCTTCAAGAAACGAAATTGGCAGATAAACAAAATATGAAATAATAATGCTAAGAATAAGAACAACAATAACAACAATAATAAGAAGAAGAAGTTTAGAACATCAATTCAGATTGACAATTAAGTATCCGTTCAGTTGACTTTTTTATTTTATTCTTTTTTTAATGGTGACTCTCATCTCTGTGACTTATGTTGAGGGATATTGCTATTTCTCCTCAATGTGTTATGAGCTTTCTAACAAAGTGTCAAACTTAGTCAAGCAGAAGTGCTTGTTAAAGCCACACTGTTGACAAAAGAAGTGCTTTAACTCTCTATGTGTCGAACATATTTATGGTATTATAGAAAGTGGCAAGGGGCGTGCTGTCCTTGGTGTCTTCACTTTTATAAACTCTCTGCCAGTAAGAAAACATTTTCTCTCTTTGCAAGGTGAAGGGGGAGTGTTGTTTTGTGCTGCAGTGGGGACAGGGTGTTAAAATACTGCCCACAGGCA